TCCCCCCCCCCCCCCCCAAAACAAAAACCCTCACCGACGCCTTTACGTCGTCGTTTTGACCCTTTCCTCCATTTTTTTCACTCTATTATATTTACCCCCACATGTTCTTGATCAGACCACGCACTGAATTTGTGATCAAAAGATTCGCATATGGAATGTCTTTTCTTCCCCTTTGTAAAAAAAAATAATTTTTTTATAAAATAATGAATATTGGGTTTGTGTATAAAAATTAGATTTACTGAATCTTAATAAAGTATAAATCTTTTTAAGTTCTTATGGTTTTGTTTGGATAATCCAATTTGGTTAATCCAACCGATGAAACGGAAATGCAAAGCGTTTGTCTCATTCCGAATTCGAGTTTCAAGTTGAGAAGAAGAACGCAATTCTAATCATATAACTTGTTTTTGGTCTCGGGATAGTCTGAGTTTTGGCACATGATACTCTATTACCTAAAAAACATAACCGCAGTGATTCCCAACGATTAGCCGAGATAATTAACAAGGATGGGTTCAAAATGTGATTTTTTATTGATGCGGGTGGGATTTCGGAGCAATTGAAAATGCAGGGGGTAAAGGGTAAATTGTACTGAGGAGGAGAAAGTCTGAATCATAGAGATGAGGAAAATGATGTAAATCCCAGTAATTTTTTTTCCCTTGTGTCAGAGAGTGCCTTAGCAAATGTAAAATCTTTTCCAAAAGATTTCCTTATTACCCTTTTTTCATTTCCAGGCCCTAAATATATAACTATATTAATCTTTGATGTTATACTTTTATAATTTTTTAACAATTAAACGATTTTAATTTAATTTAAAATAAAAAATAACCGATATAAATAAGAAAATAATGTTTTAATGACAAACCATAAAAGATGAGTACAGATTGGATCGACACAATTTGTATATAAAAAAACGAAATATTTACACATGTACTATTTGATAGTGGTGGACGTTTCGGTTCGATTCTTCAGAACCGAATCGAAAAATACGGTATTTTTTCAGATCCGAACCATTCTAAAATCCCGAACGGTACTATTTGTAAAAAACCGAATTTTTCGAAACCGGAACCGAACCGAAATGAATTTTAAAAATTCTGAAAAACCGAAATTTTTTGAAGAAAATCACTCTTTTTAAAAAAACACCGAAACCGAACCGAATATAATATAAAAACCGATTGATACATATTTTTATAAAACCAAAAAAATCGAACCGATTCATTTCCATCATAAAACCAAACCGATTCTCGAAACGTTCACCCCTTTACCTACTATTTACTATTTGATACAGCTACAATGGCTGTCCAAATTTTAAATTTGTTTATTTAATTTGAACAATGAGATGACATGTAATGTGGAACGGTCAGGTTGGTTTGGTTTGTTGAACACGTGTAGTATGTATGTATATAGTCATTGTAAATGTGACATTTATTTCGAACTGTGAGATTGGTACCGCCGAACAAAAAATATTCCTTTTTTTAATCATATTTTCATAATCTCTCCAATAACGTGTTCATTAATATTTTGCATTGCATTAATCAAACGACATTCGAAGCAATGATGGGTCCTCAAATTGAATTTACCCATTTCCTAATTTTCCGTTGCATAATAAATGTGGCCTTTTTGGTTTCTTGCATTGCTAATGAAAGTGAAAGTGAAATTGAAAAGGCTTTGCTTTTTAGTATTGTCCTTTTGTAATTTTGTGTGTTCTTCCAAGTGCTATTTCTCTTCATAATTTCTCTCCTTTTTTAAAAAAATATAATAAGAAGAAAAATACTCCCTTTTTAAATCTTTTTTAAATATTGTCAATACCCATTATTAAAAAAGTAATTTTTAAATATATATTAAAAAGTATATAGAAAATATCAAAATATCATTTATTTTTTAAAAAAATGACTCAAAAAATGTCATCTAAAAGTGAAGATGTCATAATCAACAATCTAATTGATACAAGCTTTTAAAACCTCGGTGGTGTTAATCACAAGGATTCGTTAGAACGTGTTGGGAAAGATGTCGTATTATTGGTGTGATGATAATGAATGGCATCGAATATCTCTCTGCTTCGCGATTGGACCAACCAACAACAAAACCATTTACGTTTCGTTTATGATTGATGAATCTGTTGCGGGAAATTTAATGTTTTTGGATAAATGGAAATTTAACACGAACCACCATTTTGATGAATGTGAGAAATTTAAGAGCATGCCACCTACTGTTTCCCTCCATTTCCTCTCGGCCCAACCACCCGAATTCCCAAAAGACAAAACCTTTCTTCTTCGTGAGCCACTCCCCCCTCGTAAAGTTCACACCTTTCTCTCTCTCCGATGTCAGATTTTGGTCGCAAGCCCTAAACCAGGTGGGATGAGTTTGGCCAAAATGTCTATAATGCCCTTCTTCTCCTCCTCCTCCGCCTTCCTCTTCCTCTCCCTTCTCTTTCTCTCCTCCGCCGCCGACCACCACCGTCACCTCCTTCATCAGCCATTTTTCCCGGTTACCACCTCCGTTCCTCCGACACAATCTCCGTCCTCAGGCCCGCAGGAGAAGCACACGTTCTCTGACGTCACGAGCCCTAACACCCCGCCGCAACGCAACCCGTTTTTCCCCTCCTCGGACCCTGTCTCCGCCGCTCCTCCGCCTCCTCCTCCGACGCGTCCGGCCACTCTCCCGACTTTTCCGGCCAACATATCCTCTCTCCTCCTGCCTGGACACAGCAGTGGCTCCAAGTCTCAGCACGGTCACCACGTCGCCAAACTCGTCATTGGCACGGCCTCCGTCGTCTCCGCCGCCCTCCTCCTTTCCCTCCTCGCCGTCTTCTTCATCTTCCTCCGCCAACGCCGCCGCGCCGCTCCGGCGGATGACGGCAAGTCCTCGAGATCAGACTCGCTCAGGCTGTTCAACACCGCTCCTTCCGACGGCTCCCTGAAACACAAGCAGCCGCCGAAGTACACTTCGACCAACACTAGCTCCGAGTTTCTCTATCTGGGCACTCTGGTTAACTCCAGGAGCGGAGGTTTAGACCAGCAAAAGGTCGCCATCTCCGCCAATGTCTCCGGCGTCGTGGGCGTAACATGCCCTGCTTCCGCTTCGTCTTCTTCTCAGTACCAGAAGCTGGGTTCGCCGGAGCTCCGGCCACTTCCTCCTTTACCGAAGTACAACGTTTGCACTCCCACTTACCAGAGCGGTGAACAGCTAAACCCTAAAGTCGACGACGAGGGAGACGACAACGACAACGATAACGATGAGTTTTTCTCTCCGAGAGGATCATCTGGTCGGAAACAGAGTCCTACACGTGTCTGGTCGAGCTCAAGAAGGGATTTTCAGGGCATCGGCGCCGATCACTTCGGCAGTACGAGCTTCAACTCAAGAACGGCGTCGTATCCGTACTCGAACACGTGTTCGCCGGCGGATTCCATGTCGTCTTCGAGCGCTTCTCCGACGACGAACACTAGTCCGACAAGCTTGAAACCCAAGTCCCCTGATTCCATTATGAATTTCCCAGCACATGCCCAGACCCACAATCCTTATCTCTCTTCATTCCCGTCTTCGTCGTCAGGGTTCGGTGTTACCGAATCATCGCTGCACCGTCAGAACAGCCAAAGCGACGGCGTTCCGGAGCAAACTGGACCATCTCCGCCTCCACCGCCGCCTCCGCCGCAGTTCTTGGAGATTTCGGCGTGCTCGAGGATAACACCGGCGAGGGACATGAGCGCTGGTCCTACGATGTCGGTCTCGGTCTCATCTCCTCCGGTGAATCCTGGCAATGGAGATGAGGAACTTGGGGAGAAGGAGGATGATTCGGAGAAGAAAGAGGATACTTTGAAACCAAAGTTGAAACCTTTACACTGGGACAAAGTCAGAGCGAGCTCGAACCGTGCCATGGTGTGGGATCAGATCAAATCAAGCTCTTTTCAGTAAGACCATCATTCACTTTCAACATAGGTGTTAACCCTCAATCGCTACCTCAGCCTTCTTTAGATATAAATGATGGCTTCTCTTATTGCAGATTGAATGAGGAAATGATAGAGACACTGTTCAGAGTGAACGGTCCAAGTTCAAGAACAAAAGATGCCGGCTTCGTTCGAAATTCTCAATCTTGGAGTCAGGAGAATCGGTTGATCGATCCAAAGAAGGCTCAGAACATTGCGATCTTGTTGAGGGCACTTAATGTTACAACCGATGAAGTATGTGAAGCCATCTCTGAAGGTACTGGCTTATGCCTTATCTATGGTTGCTCCATGTAAAAGGTTTCCACTTCAAAACACTTCGCTTAGGCTTATGTCACATGATGTCCGGTCTTAATCCTCTATGCTTGCTTGGATTATGATCCCTTTACTTGTCTCTCTCCATTATTTTACCTGACCCATCTTTTTTTGTTTTGACTTGAAACATCTCAAAGGCAACTCTGATACGCTGGGGCCAGACCTTCTCGAGTGTCTGCTGAAGATGGCCCTTACCAGAGAAGAAGAGGACATGCTTAAGGACGTTAAAGACGACGACTCTCCTTCCAAGCTATGCCCTGCCGAGAAGTTCCTCAAAGCATTGCTCGATATCCCTTTCGCCTTCAGGAGGATCGATGCCATGCTCTACATTGCCAACTTCGAACCAGAAACCGATCACCTTAGAAGGTCCTTCGACACCCTCGAGGTATAAGCCCGTTTTCGCGAATTGTGTTATACAACTCCGAATCTTTACTCGCCGGTACATTTTCAGGCTGCGTGTGGGGAATTGAAGAATACCCGAATGTTCTTGAAGCTTCTAGAAGCGGTTCTCAAGACAGGGAACCGGATGAATATAGGGACGAACAGAGGTGAAGCACATGCCTTCAAGCTCGACACTCTACTGAAGTTGGTGGATATAAAGGGCACTGATGGGAAAACCACCCTCTTGCATTTCGTGGTGCAAGAGATCATAAAATCGGAGGGAGCTCGTGTTTCAGCTCCCGACCAGAGCCCTAAAAGCGAGAACATAACTGAGCTGTCCACTCTCCAGGACGATCTCGAACTCAGAAAACTCGGGTTGCAAGTGGTTTCATGTCTCAGCTCGCAAATGATGAACGTGAAGAAAGCGGCCGCCATGGACTCAGCCACGCTCAGCAACGACATATCTGACATCGTCACTGGGATAACAAAAGTTAAGGAAGTTGCAGAGCTCAGGGAAGAAATCGGCGTAAACCCTTGCGGAGAGAAATTCTTGGCTTCCATGGATATGTTTCTGAACAAGGCGGAGAAAGAGATAGCAGAGATCCAATCCCGTGGAGGAAATGCTCTGAAAACGGTGAAGGAAGTAACGGAGTACTTCCATGGCAATTCAGAATCTCGCCCGTTCCGGATATTCGCGGTGGTCAGAGACTTTCTGGCGATTCTTGATCAAGTCTGCAAAGAAGTCGGGCGGATAAACGAGAGAACCGTGTGCGGCGGATCCGTACGGCCTTCATCGGTGAATGCGAATCTCCCGCCACTTTTCCCGGCTCTCAATGCACGGCAGAATCATCACCCTGGTTCCTCCGAGGAGGATGACGAGGACGAGTCGACTCGGTAAAGAACTCGTGTTGTTTGTTCCAGTCCGTTTGTGTATTGTCGTATCACTTCAATTTGTACGTTATTAGACACAAACATATAATATATATATATATAGGTATTATTTATATGTATTTACAAGCATTTGCATAATTGTCTGAGTCACAAATAGATACTTTAGATCACATTATTTCTATAATTTGATTTGTGTCGTCTTTTGGTAATTAAACATGTAACTTGACACAAAATTTGGAAATGAGAATAGCCAATAGAAGAATGCACGAACAACAAGACAACATCGGATTCGAAAACAACAACAACAAGACCTACTACGTACTGCGAACAAGGAAAAACAAATGCATGGAAAAAAAAACAGAGAAGAGAAAAGGAGGAATCGCTGTCTCACGGGTCCGTTTCGTACTTGGGATAGCAAAACATCTCCGGGCATGGGTAACGAGGCGGAAGCGAGATACGTGTCTGGCCCGTCTGCGTGATATGATGCTCGTGGATCTGCCGCATCACCTCCGTCTGGTAAAACTGCATCCGATATCCTCGCTCCCTGTAAATGCGTTGCTCAGCTACCCCTGCCTTCAACCTCATGTCGATGGCCTGGATACCCGTAGCAATGGCCTCTATCCTCATCCAGAGCTCGCGATAGGGATCAGGCTGGTGTCCCTGAGTCTGTGGCTCGGACTCGGGTGCAGCCGTCTCTGTCTCTGTCTCTTCAGCTCTCTGAGCGGAACGCTCTCCCAAGTCATGGTCAAATGGGGTCTGGAGCTGCTCGGATGTGAGATCAAATCGCAGACCCTCTAAGGTGAGGGAGGTAAGAAGTCGTTAGGCATGTATACCTTACGATCCACTCCCTCAGTTTCGAGGAATGCCCAGTAGTTTGTGCCGTGGTGAGACAAGATATGTCTCTTCCCTCTCAAAGCTTCGATGTCCATCGTTGTCCTACCTCTGATCTGGTCGCTGTCAAATATGCCCACGTTGATGTTCAAGCACCGAGCGATTATCGTGACGATACCACCCACGCAAATCGCAGCGTTGGAAAGCTCTGCACTGGTCACCAGTTTATCTATGTGCAGCACTACTCTAGAGGCGACATCTACCGCACTCATGCCCCAATCATCGCCATCATAAAGGTCCCTGAGAGCCAATCGGAGAAATCCGAGCTCCTGCAGGTTTATCGCACCCGAATCCGGCCGAGCAAAGAGACAGTTGGTCATGAACTGATGTAGATATCGGATCGCTGGGTGTCGAATCCATGAAGACTTAGGATTCGAGGAGTAAGAACGAGTTGCTATATGTTCCCAGAATTCTTTCTGCTTCCTAGACTGAATCCGAGGTAACTTCGATGTGGTACCGATCTTGGTACCCCTAGAATCGTCGAGAGCTGTCTGACCGAAAGTCTATGGAGCTTGCCTCGAAGGCAAAATTCAAAATATGCATCATCGACCGTACCATCCTGTGGAAAAAAACACTGGAACGTAGCGAGGAATTCTAGTGTGAGGGTTTTGTAAGTGAGCTCCCGCGTGACGTACAAATTATCCCAACCCAAGTTGGCAAATAACTGTCGTACCTGCTTCTCAATCCCTAATCGTTCTATCTCACCACTCACAGATTTGGTCGGTCTGATACCTTGGTTGATTAACCTGTTTAACCTCATTTTCTGACCTCCACCCTTGACTCTAGCCTTTGGGGGTGGCCCTGCTTCTGGTACTATGGCTCGAGGTGCCCCTATGGTTGTGACGACATTCGAGGGTAGAGACGTGGGTTCTGTGTCAATAAACTGATATCTGTATGCTTGGAAATATAGTAGAGGAAATGAACTCTCTCTGTTTTCTTATTCAAACCCATGCGAAGATACATACATTTATACAGAAGGAAATAAACCAACTATCCTATATAAAAGGAATAAGATATATACGAATATAAACAATATAGCAGATCAAAATCTGGTAGTTTAGATACTATATTGTAACACTCCCCCTCAAGATGGAGAATACATGGAGTGAATTCCCATCTTGGACAGAAGATGCCGGAAATTATCGATCAAAATCGGCTTGGTAAATAAGTCCGCAATCTGGTCACGAGAAGAAGTGTGAAGAGGCTTCAAAAATCCAGAAGAAACACGCTCACGAACGAAGTGACAATCTAATTCGATGTGTTTCGTACGTTCGTGGAACACCGGATTATTGGCAATGTGGATGGCGGACTGATTATCGCAAAAAATGGAGACAGGTTGTGGACAAAAGACATGAAGTTCACGGAGCAATGCATCAAGCCAAACCAATTCACACGTAGTCTGAGCCATAGCTCTATATTCGGACTCGGCGGAACTTCGAGAAACAGTTTGTTGCTTCTTCGATTTCCAAGAAACGAGAGCACCTCCCAAGAAAACACAAAACCCAGTCACCGATCGGCGAGAGTCGGGGCAAGACGCCCAATCGGCATCAGTATAAGCAGTCAGTTGAGAAGTCGAATTTGCCGGATAAAGGAGACCCTGGCCTGGTGCATTCTTAAGATAGCGGAGGACTCTATAAGCTGCCTGTAAGTGAGAGGTCCGAGGTTGCGCCATGTATTGACTCAGCTTCGTAACTGAAAAAGAAATGTTCGGACGAGTGATTGAGAGGTAAATTAATTTACCCAGCAAAGCCCGATAACGAGAAGGATCTGGCAGAAGATCACCACTGTCACTGCTGAGTTTCTGACCGAATTCCATGGGTGTCGCCAAAGGCTTGCAGGCAAGCATACCAAAATCCTCAAGAAGCTCGAGGGTATATTTACGTTGGCAAAGTGAGATGCCATGACGAGAGCGTGCTACTTCGAGACCAAGGAAATAACGCATATCTCCAAGATCTTTCAGCTGAAAATTAGCAGAACGAGAATCCTTAAGATCCTGCAACATGACAGAGTCATTCCCAGTGAGTAACAAATCGTCGACGTAAACAAGAATCGCCGAAAAACTAGAGCCAAGCTTCTTGGTAAAAAGGGAGCAATCAGACAGGGACTGAGTATATCCAGCTGCGACCAGAACTCGAGTGAGTTTCAAGTTCCACTGTCGAGACGCTTGTTTGAGGCCATAGAGGGACCTGTTGAGCCTGCAAACAGAATCAGAAGGGAATCTCTCCCCCTTAAGATCAGAATAGCCAGGAGGAAGAGACATATAAATCTCTTCATGAAGATCTCCATTTAAAAAAGCGTTTGACACGTCCATTTGTTGCAGCAACCATCCATTAGCAGCAGCAAGAGCGAGAACTACCCGAACCGTGGTAATCTTTGCTACCGGACTGAACGTGTCAAGGTAATCGATCCCCTCAATCTGTGTATAACCCTTAGCTACCAAACGAGCCTTGTACCGTTCCACAGAACCATCGGGATTAAATTTCATCTTAAATACCCATTTGCAGCCAATGGGGCGTTTTCCTTGTGGTAAAGAGCAGACAGTCCACGTGTTTGTCCGAGATAAAGCATCCAACTCAAGACGCATAGCATCCTTCCACTGAGCAAACTTGGCAGCCTTGGTATAACAGGTCGGTTCAGGGACAGATGAAATAGAAAGGGCAAAGTGTCGATAACCATGATGTAATCTGTCATAAGACAGAGCAGAGGATAAAGGAAAAGGTGATGAAACGGGCTCGGTGGGTGGTTGGTTATGGTGTAGCATGTAGCAGTGATAGTCAGATAAATACGGAGGGGGTCGAGTCTGCCGAGAAGGACGACCAATGTTCTCTGAAGGAGGTGAACGAATTGAAACAGAAGAAGGACCCGAAGAAGGAACTGGAACAGACACAGAGGATGAAGTTGAAGAAGACAGGAACTCGGAAACTGGAACAACTGAAGATGTCTGATACTCAGGTGTATCATAAAGAAAAAACGATGGACCAGGAAAAGGATCAGAACTCGACACAGAAGAAGAAGAGGAAGGTTCAGACTGGAAGGGAAAAATGGACTCATGGAAGACAACGTCGCGGGAAACAGAGATGACGCGAGATTCCAAGTCCAAAACCTTGTAACCTTTGACACCAAAAGGATATCCCAAGAAAACAGCTGGTTTAGCACGAGGTGAAAACTTGTGACGATCTTTCGAATGTGTAGAAACGTAGCAAAGACAGCCAAAAACCCGAAGATGCTCGTATTTGGGTTTCATATGGGTGAGACACTCAAAAGGGGACTTGTTCTGTAAGAGAGGTGTCGGAGTTCGGTTAATGAGATAAACCGCGGCAAGTACACAATCACCCCAGTACGGTAAAGGAACCTGAGACTAAAAAAACAGAGCACGAGCAACATTTAAGAGATGTTGGTGTTTGCGTTCTACAACGGAATTTTGTTGGGGTGTGTACGGACAAGAGGTATAGTGTATAATGCCTTTCGAAAGAAGAAGATTGGTAAAGGCAAGTTCGGGAGCATTGTCTGTACGAATGGATTTAATCTTAGCAGAAAATTGAGTTTCGACAAGAGATATAAACTGAGGGAATTTGAAAGAAACATCACTTTTATTGCGAAGAAGAAAAATCCATGTGACTCGAGTACAATCATCGACAATGGAGAAGAAATACCGAAAACCATCAACAGTTTGTGTATGGAATGGTCCCCAAATATCGAGATGAAGTAACTCGAAAGGATGAGCAGACAAATGACCTGACTGAGGAAACGAAAGTGTCTTCTGTTTAGCCAGAGGACAAACACGACAATGTGACGCTTTATTTGAAGGAGAAAAACGCAGCTGATCGGAGCTGGCAAGACCATGTATCCGGATGTCCGAAGGATGTCCGAGTCGGTGATGCTAGACATCGAAACTAGCTGAAGAAAGGGAAGTGCAGACTGGAGACGAAACAGTAGACTGATGTGAGCCAGGAAGATCCATGTCCAGAAGGTATAGATCATGAAGACGTTTTCCCATCCCAATCGTCAATCCCAGAGTAGGGACCTGAATATGATAGGAATCAGAAGAAAAAATCACCGAACAAGGAATGTGTTTCGTCAATAAACTGACACTTATGAGATTAAAATGAAAATGAGGGACAAATAGAACAGAATAAAGAGTAAGATGAGGGGAAATAACCACAGTGCCAGAATGGGAAACAGGCACAAGTGTACCATTCGGCAAAGTGAGCGAAAGTGGGGATGTTTCACCAAAATCAGAGAACAAAGATCGATCGCAGCAGACATGATTACTGGCGCCGGTGTCCAAAATCCAGGTAGTGCGAGAAAAACTGGGGCAAGAATCTGTATTTGTAAGAACAGGGCTAAAAAAAAAATTACCTGGGGAATTTGGTTGGGTTGTTACCAAGCTTGCATCAGAGAAAGAATTCTGCAATCCTTGAAGTTGAGTGCTAAACTGAGAAAGCAGGGACTGAGCCTGCTCGAATGTTGTACTACCAACACTCGTAGGAACAGCAGATCCAGACGATGCAAGGGCAGGCAAAGATGGTACCTGAGAACCTCCAATCATGTTGATATGAGAGTGAGGTGGTTCATTGCCAGAAGAAGCAGCCTTTGGAGTAGAACGAGAACGATTAGGCCAAGAACCCTGAGAAGCCAGCTTATGGCCTTGAGGGTAGCCATAAATCTTGAAGCAACGCGAAATATTGTGCCCTAACATACCGCAATGGGTACATAGAGGACGAGGACGAGTCTGTTGCTTGGCATCATAGGGCATTTTCTGACGACCAGTAGAAGAGTGCACTTGAAAGGCGACAGGATCTGAAGGAGCAATGAGGCGTTGTTGTTCTTCCTGAGCAATGAGGTTGTAGGCTTTGCTGATATCAGGAAGAGGTTTCATCATCAAAATCTGACGCCGAGTTGGAGTATAAGATTCATTTAACCTCATTAAAAATCGAACAACATTCCTCCTGTCACACAGCTCCTGCCAGCGTGTAGATAAGCCACAAGAGCAGCCATTGCAGGTACATGTGGGAAGCGGCTCATGATTCTTGAGTTCCTCCCAAAGAGATGTCAATCGTGTGAAATACGCATTTAGATCCAACGAGCCTTGATGGAGAACATCAATCTGCTGTTGAATGTGGTAGAGTTTGGACACATTCTTCAGCTTGAATCGATTCTCCAGATTCACCCAGATATCCCGAGCATTATCGTAGTAGACAATAAGGCTAGAGATATCGGGAGACACGGCATTGTTCAACCAAGTGGAAACGAGGTCGTTGCACCGAGACTAGAGATTATGATCTGCATGATCTGAAGGTGGTTTCAGTATAGAACCATCGATAAAGCCAAGCTTATTCTTGGCATTCAAGGCTTTGAGCATTGAACGTGCCCAAATATTGTAATTCGAAGCTCCAAGTAATTTATCGGAGATCAACGATACACTAGAAGTATCGGCAGCATGAAGAAAAAGCGGATTCGAATATGGGTCAAGGGTGGATGGAAGAACAGAAGAGACTGCAGGGGAAGCTGCAGAAGGAGCCGAAGCAGGAGAAGATGTGGCTGAGTGATCAGACATAGTGAATTAAAAAAAATATCAAAGGGAATAAATGTCGAAGTGAAGAAAGTAGAAGACAAAAGCAGTCGGAGCAATAGATTCACTCTGATACCATGTCAATAAACTGAGATCTGTATGCTTGGAAATATAGTAGAGGAAAGGAACTCTGTTTTCTTATTCAAACCCATGCGAAGATACATACATTTATACATAAGGAAATAAACCAACTATCCTATATAAAAGGAATAAGATATATACGAATATAAACAATATAGCAGATCAAAATCTGGTAGTTTAGATACTATATTGTAACATTCTGCAACAGGCATGTTTCCCAATCTGTGAGTAAAGTATAAGGCTGAGTAGGGAGAAATTTTTCGGTTACCTTGACAACACAGGACTCGAAGAGGCAGATTTGTATGCCAAGTGGGGTGAAATCCGGTGGCAAAGGAGGAGAGAGTGAAAGACGACGGTGGTGAGCGGCGGCCGAAGAGGAGTGGTCCGACGAGGGGAGGAGAGGGAGAGGAAGAGGCCGACGGTGAAGAGAATGACGCCCGGAGAAGATGGATTTCTCGAAGAAGAGGGATGACCGGAGGAGGAGGAACGTCGGAAAATGTCGGAGAGTAAAGGGGGATGCTCGCCGGTAAAAAAAGGTTGCTCGACCAAGTGAGGTTCGAGCGCGTTTTTTGAAATTCCCTCCGACTAGCCGAGCAGTTACATGGATCTTTATGAGCGAGTGATTGCTGACACGTGTCAACATGTAATGCTCTAACATTAATTTTCCACAAATTAAAATTAAAATTAAAATTAAATCGCTAGGTTTTTTCTCTCCATTAAACCACTTCGTAATTTGCAGCCCTCTCGCACGCGTTGGCGCTCCTGAAAGATCTAACGAACGGAGGTATCGGATTTCTTATTATTCGCTGTTTGTTGTCCTGAAAGATCTAACGAACGGAGGTATCGGATTTCTTATTATTCGCTGTTTGTTGTCCGATTCGAGGTTCTATTTCAGAGTTTGGCTTTATCAATCGATGTAGAAATTCCAAAATTTGTTTGAGCTCGTTCAAGAAATTTCCGGAATCTCTCTCTCCTGTTGGGTCGAAGTTTGGGGCTTTTAGGGTTTAGGGTTTGTGTGGTTTTGAGAGATTGTTGCAATCCTTAGATTTTTCTCTTTCGATCTTTTCCTCTGCTCTCTGTGATTATGCTTTCAAGCGGTTTATGTAATTCTCCTGACTTCTGGGTTGCGGACTCTTGACGGACGTTCGGTTGTGGTTACATGAGCGGGGGAGCGAATCTCAGAAGTGTTAATTTGACAGCTGATATGTTTCATGTCTCCTGAGTTGTAGATTCTTACGAACTTTTCTTAAAGTTTTCGCCTTTTGGGAAATTTTGGGCGACTCATTTGATTAGATCTTGTGTTTGCAGTTCCTCCACAAGGGATAATCAGATTTTGGTTATAGAACAGACTCAGAAGATGAGTGCAGCTGGAGAGAAAGCTTCTGGAACCACAAAAACTCCCGCAGATTTCCTTAAGTCAATCCGTGGGAGACCTGTGGTCGTGAAACTGAATTCGGGTGTTGATTACCGAGGTATTGTTTTCTAATTCCATTGTTCTCCGCTTAAAATGCCCTTCGGTGAGATATCTTTCTTTAGTTTCAGTGGTGAAGCTATTGCAATCTATGTGTTCACTTTTGCACTTAGGGTTTAGAGATTTTGACTTAAGGCATATCTGTTTTCGATGTTGATGAGATTAATGAGATTTGATTGTGCTTTTCTCATCAAGAACTCGCCGGTTATCCTGTTCAATCCTCTATGGAAAAGGTCGTTCTGTTTACCATGTTGACGAGACTAATGAGCTTTGCTATTGGTCTCCTGCACGGTTCTGCTATTTTTTTTATTGGCTCTTCAGGGTTTCACACGATGTAACTAAATATGTCATGTATAATGCCAAAAGATGCGTTATAATACCTTTTTCTCTGTGTGCTTAGGCTAATAAAGTAACGTCCTTCTCGTGAACACAACACTAATACAATTTTTTTTCCAAACTTGTATGTCTTATTCCCTGATTCAGTTTTTAGCATTGTATGTGAGCATTTTGAGTTATTTTTCTTCATACTTGATTAAGAAAAAGGTGCTTTCAACCATGTATGTAGGCATTCTGGCTTGTCTTGATGGCTACATGAACATAGCGATGGAGCAGACCGAGGAATATGTAAATGGACAGCTGAAGAACAAATACGGTGATGCTTTCATCCGTGGAAACAACGGCAAGTACATCATAAATCATTCTTTTCACGTTCACATACGCATCTTTTCTTCATAAATCATTCTTTTCAAACTGTATCTGAATGTTTTTTTAACGGGCTTGTTCGGTGCAGTTCTTTACATCAGCACAACAAAGAGGACATTGGCAGATGGAGCCTAGACTCGATGTTTGTTATCAGTGGCCATTTTTATCATTCTCTGATGCTTTCGTCTGAAACAGCTTTTGCACTTTGACCTCTATAACATTTTTGGGCTGCTGGAGTCTATCACCTCCGGTAGAACCGTAATTTTCAAGCCTACGTTTGATAAAAATGAATGTGATTCGACCATAAATGGCGCCCATCAGGTGGTCACTGCCCACATTCTGGTCTGCAGTGACTAGTGCTTTCCATGTTCAAGATCCAATTGATTCCATATAAATGTATGACTATGGGTCAATCATCAACGTGCCGTATACATTTTTAGCAGTGGACCATGTTCTGTCGACGACTTCTGAAACAGCAGAAGCCGTAAGGAATCTGATTTCATCCTCCTCTCCTAAACAATCCTCCAAATACTATGCGACTTGGGTTTTTTTTCTTTCATTCATTTCTCTATCTAGATGATCTCGATATGATGCATTAAGAGTGTGGTCTTAGTCATTTAGTGATTGGACTTTGGTAGCTGGAACATAAATTTACAGACAGAAACAACCACCAGTGTTCCGACAACCCAATCACTTGTATTGTCTACTGACGACACTTTCATGTGGTGCGGATCTTTGATGTTGCCAGAGAATTCGGCTCTAAAATCTGCTCTGTTTTTTTTTTTTGGACAGTGTTGTGCCGTTTACTGTGTGTATAATTCTTACCCACCAAGTAACACCTGCAACTCCACCGTTGATGGAGAAAATGACATAGAAAGTTGCGGTGGGCATTTATCCATAGAAGCCGTAATGAGATTTGTGTTTGACGCTCGAGAAAACATGTGGAGACAGTTGAGTCTTTAATCTTTGTAAGTGAAATATCCTTCACGTGTCCCACATCCATCAATAACATTGTCCCACATCGGAAAATGAGTTTTGATTTTATTGGGTATGTTTATAACAAAGCAGATTCAGCAAAATTCTATCATTTGAGAGAGAGAGATGGAGAAGGAGGAGGAGAGAGGGCACATATTGGGAGTGGCATATCCAACGCAAGGGCACATATCTCCAATCCACCAACTCTGCAAAAGACTCCTTTCCAAAGGCATCAAAACCACACTCACCCTCACCACCTTCGCCCACACCTCCATCAGCCCTAACCCACCACACGGCTCTGTCTCCTTAGCCACCTTCTCCGACGGCTTCGACCATGGCGGCATCTCCGCCGCCGAAAGCATCCACCACTATCTCCGCCGTTTCCAGACCGTCGGCTCCCAGACCTTGGCCCAAGTCATCAGACAGCACCAGAGTTCCGACCACCCCATCACCTGTGTCGTCTACGACGCTTTCCTGCCGTGGTGTCTTGATGTGGCCAAGGACTTCGGTCTCGTCGCCGCTCCTTTCTTCACCCAAACCTGTGCCGTTAATTACATTTACTATCTCGCTTACCAGGAAAAACTCGAGCTCCCCATTGATGGGTTGACCTTTCTTGAGCCCCAAGATTTGCCTTCTTTTCTCTCCGTCCCTGGGTCTTACCCTGCGTACCACGAGATGGTTCTGAATCAGTTCTCGAACTTAGGAAAAGCCAATTTCGTTCTCGTTAACGTCTTCGAGAAGCTGGAAGTTAAGGTACGTCTTTTGTTCTTTACTGTTTATGCATCATGTCCTAACTCTGATCTCGTCCTCTGATTCGCCGACAGGAGACGGAGTTGCTGTCCAGAGTCTGTCCACTCTTGACTGTAGGCCCGACCTTGCCGTCGTTGTACTTAGACAAACGAATAAAAACAGATGAAAACTACGATCTGATGCTATTCGATCCTAAAGGCGTGGAATCCTGCAAAGACTGGCTGAACGAGAGGCCGAAAGGGTCCGTGGTTTACGTGGCCTTTGGAAGCCTGGCCGAGCTCTGCAACGCGCAGATGGAGGAGCTTGCTTGGGCGTTAAGCAAATTCAGTTTCATTTGGGTTGTCAGAGATTCCGAAGAGACAAAACTACCGTCCGGTTTCGCAGAATCACTGGTCAAAGACAAGGCTCTGGTCGTGAAGTGGAGTCCCCAGCTCGAAGTGTTGTCAAACAGAGCAATAGGGTGTTTTCTGACACACTGTGGATGGAACTCGACAATGGAGGCCGTAAGCTTAGGGGTACCAATGGTGGCAATGCCCCAATGGACGGACCAACCCACGAATGCAAAGTACGTAGAAGATGTCTGGAAGGTCGGGATTTGCGTGAAGGCGGATGAGGAGAACGGGATCGTGAAGAGAGAAGAGATCGAGTTCTGTATAAAGGAAGTAATGGAAGGAGAGAGGAGCAGAGGTGTGAAGGAGAATGCAAAGAAATGGAGAGATTTGGCTGTGGAAGCTCTCGCAGAAGGAGGCACTTCCGATGTTAACATCGACACATTGGTTTCTGCATGTCTGTAACAACTGTTACAACTAGTTATTAAGTATGAAGTGTTCTTGAATAATGTGAATCTTCTTCTGTTCCATTTGAAAAAACTGAAATTTGAGCACAATCTTATGAGATGTTTTTTTTTTTGCTGACAAATACTCGGAAACGTAAGAAAAGAAACAACGGCTCGTGTTTTTTTTTTTTTTTTTTTTTTTGCGACAAACTGTACAGATCGAGAGAGTGATGCCCATCATCCTTCCGATCATGTTTTCTCTCGGGTTGTTTCAGATTTGATCTTGGAATCGCCCTTCATTTCCTGCAAACAGCTTGAATTGTTCATATTTCAGATGATACAATTGGCATAAAAAGCTCTAAGCTTTCTAGCTGAATCTGAAGAATGGAGGAGAAGATGTTCTTACCAGGGAAGCTTGAACGTGTCTTTCCACCATCCCTGTTTAGAGCAGCTTGAGACTATTTTCTCGAGCCGTAAGATAATCTCGGAGAATGTCGGCCTGACAACGACATCCGGGTGCCAACACTCCTCAATCAACCTTCAGATTTTTCGTATCAACGGAATAGAAAAGCGATGTTTAGGTTCAAGCTCGAGCATTTTCTGTGTTATGAATCATTTTTAAGAAGCGCATCTTGAAACCGGTTTTAGCTTACTCTTTCAAATCTGGAGGATAACTTCTCGTTTTCGTCCTGATGGTCGGTCTCTTTCCTTCTAAACACATAATTTTCGCTACCTCATCCGGAGGTTTTGGATGGAACAGCTGCACTCCCTCGGTCATCTGAACATATGCAAAACCATTGCAATGTAGGGTTCATCTTCTTATCCGTGGTTTTGGTTTAAGTAGTGAAATCAAGATAGGATGTCTACCTCGTACAAAATGATGCCAAATGAATGCACATCGACCTTTCTATCGAATACTTCATCCCTGTAGATCTCAGGCGCTACGTAATAATCTGCAATTTTTTAGGAATCAATTCAATGGTCACACCCTTTGTGGAAAAAAAAGTGATAGGAAGTTCCATCATATGAACACTACTTACTCGAGAGATCTATACGCGCCTCGTGGTTAAGTACTTGAGCTTTGTCTGGGGAAATTTTAGATAGCCTTATCAGACCAAATCCGGAAATCTTCATCTGGCCTCCCCTATCCAGCAAAATATTTCTGGCACCTTACGAAAAATTTCAAATATTAATAAACTGAGAATCTCAAAATCCAAGTTCAACTGCTTCGGCATGTCTGATCTAACTTTTGCTTTCGGCTGTCTTACTTTGGCTTTAAATCGCAATGGATGATTGGGTCTGGTTTACATTCGTGGAGGTAATTCATGCCCCTGATACCGGAAAACCAAAAGAAAATATTGGATGGGATATTGTAAGATGGGCACGGCGGTACTCATTTGGTTAAAATGTGGAACCTTAGAAGCAATCACAAGGAAATTTAACATGCCTGGCAATATCAAGAGCAAATCTTAGGGCCTTGGATGGGGAGACGCGTCCTTTCTTTTGGAGATATAAACCTAGATCCCCCTGAAAATTCACCATTACTGCAGTATCAGAATTATCAGAATTCAAAGGCGGTATTTTTCGACTTAGTCAGGGATGCCAAAAGTATCAGAAAGAATATAGGACACACACAGAAGAGAATCAAGATGATCAACGAATGAAAAACTTCAAAGCTTTTTTCCATGGATATCAACTAACTTCCGAGAAAAAGAGAACAAAGGGGAAGGCTATCATTTAACAAGGCTCAAACTTTATCCAAGAATTCCATTGATTGAATAGAGAAGAGGAAATCTTACTTTGGGGTTATACTCCACTATAATCATCATGGGGATATTCTGAGTGACGGCTCCAACAAACTGGATGATATTTGGATGACGGACCTTTTCTAGCAATGTCAATTCATGTTTGAAAGCGTTTCTGCTCAAGTCGAAAAAGCAGATGAGAACGTTTGTATTAGCTTTAATGGGGGAATTGGGAAGATAGAACGGGGCATTGCTTAGACAACATACTCTAAGATCATTCAAATATACATCAGAAGGAACAAGAAGGATGCATACATGCGCTCCGGGTCTGAGTAGCTGTCCTTGTCGAGTATTTTTACCGAAACCCTTGTGCCATTCCATTTGCCCACTTGATATACTCCCTACAAAGGAGTACCATTACTTTGAAAGTTCAGATTCTTCAAACTTCTCACATTGTCACTTGATCAATCCTCCATTTGGTCATTCATATGCCTTATGGGATACAGTCTTTAACCAAAAGGCAAAGACATCGACAAAGAACTTGCCTTTGAGATGCCATCAGACTTCCGGACCTGAAGCTCTAACGGGTTAAGCTCGTACTCGGGAACCTCTCGTGGATTAGCCACAGTCATCGGTGTCTTCCTGGTTTTCTAAATTTAAGCAAACATGTGAGAATGAAGCATTCAATCCAACAAATGCAGAACAGGTGCTAAGACCAATCCTCATCAAGAAACTGAGAAATCAAAAAGTGTTAACATCGTACCGGAACTTTAGCTCCTCGGGCCTTCAAGATATTGTAAACTTCCACATTCCCATAATACTTTGCATCAGCAGCAGCCTACACGATCATCCATAAAAGTTCATAGTCTAACAGAAAGAGATCGCTGCATTGTTCTTTATCCAAAGCAATCGACTTTGAAAGTGGAAACACAAATGATTTGATCTAGAAAACTTGAAATCAAGGAGACAGAGCTGCCCATTGTTCACATTCCAAACATCAATCCAATAGAATTTGACAACAGAAACGAGGGTGAATCGGGAAATCCAAAAACAGACCGTGCTTCCCCATCGATCGCGAGCATCGATGTTGGCCTTCCTGCTATTTCAGATGATACAATTGGCATAAAAAGCTCTAAGCTTTCTAGCTGAATCTGAAGAATGGAGGAGAAGATGTTCTTACCAGCGGCAATGTGGAGCGCCGTACGGCCGTCGAGGTCGATGCTATTAACATCGATGCCGTCGTCGAGAAGCTCATCGACGCCTCTGAAATCGCCCTTGCTCGCCATGAAAAGGAGCTGCATCGTGGAATCGAGGTTCTCCGGAACCGCCAATGGCTCACCGTTGGATTCGGGGCTCCGGCGGATCGGATCGAGCGACGACTGCCGGCCGAAGCTGAATCGCATGTTGTTCCGGCGAGGATCGAGCGACGACTGACGCGTGAACTGACGACTCAGCGTCCGACGCAGCGATCCCGTCGAGAACTGCCGCGAGATCCCGCGCTTCAGCTGCGCCGCGATGTTCTCCATGATCGACCGTAACTCTCTATCGCTCTATCAAAACCCAGTAATTTTCAGGACCAGAATCGATGAATCCGAGGATCAAACCCACATTGCATCATGGAGACGTAGTCAACGGGTACGAAGGGGAAGAGGAAGAGGAAGAAGACGAAGAATGAAGGAAGGAAGGAGGGAACGATGAGGATCCGTTATTTTCCGCTTTGTTTGTTATTTAATGTTTTGTAATGGTTTTTTTTTTCTGTTATAAGAAAAAGAATCTCAAATTTGGCATTCAATTATCCAATTGAAAATTGACCAAAAAAAACAAGGGTTTACCTTATAATTCTCATTCTATTTATTCATTTCTACACCAAAACATTTTTAAAAGTTTGTCAGATTTTTTTTTTTAATTTGGAAAAAAAAATGGGATACAAATATGCAAGAAAATTTTTAACATTTTTTTATATAATGGAAGGACAACTAAAGGAGATGCTGATTGATTGGGTCGTTGTCTAGTATCAATCACCCATTCATATTTGTGATGCCCCACCCACCACTCATTTATGCCTTCCAAATTCCAATCCAATGTCATTTTTCATTTCCCTTTATTTTTATTTTCTCAATCCATCATTTTCTCCCACAAAAATATTTAAGCTCTAATTTCAGCCCACACACACACACACACACACATATATATATATATGTATGTATGTACACAAACACACGAAGAAATGAGTTTAAAACCCCATAGTTTGGAAATAAGACATACAGAATAACTTCCAAAGGCATATTTAGTCAATTACAGTCCAAGAAAACAGGACAGAGGGAGAACAGAGCTTGAAAAGATGAAGATCCAATTACCTGTCGAGGAAGAAACACAAACGATAAGTGACGTCACTCACACGCGACCATGAGAACTTGCTTCCCAAGGTTTCTTCCATGGAAGAGTCCTACCAGAGCAGCGGGGCCATTCTCGAGTCCTTCAACTATGTCCTCCACATAGGTTACCTTTCCTTCTCTTATGAGCGGAAGCATGAACTCTACAAACTCGGAGAATCTGCACATGAAATCTGAGGTGGCGAATCCTTCCATTCGGATTCTCTTGTAAATGACAGTGGTCAGGTTGCGAACGCCTTCCCATTCTTCGAGATGGTACTGAGAGATGTTTCCGCATACAGCAATGCGGCCATGGATTCTCATGCTTAGAAGCACTGCGTCCAGTATTTTGCCTCCCACGTTCTCAAAGTATATGTCTATGCCTTCAGGGAAACACCTGGAAACATTATTATATATCAGAAATTCAGGATCAAGATTCTGCAGTGTTCATAAACGCTGACTCTATGGTCGACAAAATCAAAATCTACATTAGGGGAGTCACTTGGTTGGTAAGTCTTAACAGTTGTTACAAGCATTGTTTACTGACCTCTTTAAGGCAGCATCAAGATCAGGCTCTTCCTTGTAGTTAAACGCGTCATCAAACCCAAATCTGTTCTTCAGGAGATCGACCTTATAAAACCAAAAAAGCCGAGTGAAAAAAGGTAAGTTCACTCTCATGAATGGGATTGCAATGGAGATACATGATCCGATAAAGAGAAGCTGAACCGACCTTTTCTTTACTTCCAGCACTTCCTACGACGTAACAGCCCATCATCTTAGCAAACTGACCCACAAGCTGACCAACTGCACCAGATGCTGCCGATATAAACACATATTCTCCTTTCTTAGGAGAACAGATTTCGTAGAACCCGATGTAGGCAGTGAGACCCGGCATACCTGTTAGAGAGATGACAAGCACAACATATAATATCAGTATGAGCCATTGCATATATAACTAGCCAGCCTCCTTTTCGATCAAAGTTGCATTTTTTTCAGAATAACAAGTTCACCGGCGAATTATATGATTGTAAAGAAAGAAAGCCTTATGCTTACCAAGAATCCCGGTGTAGTAGGATAAGGGAATATCAGTATGGTCGATTTTTAAGGCAAGACCAGTTGTTGGGTTGATAAGACTGTACTCCTCCCATGGAACCACACAGTAAACTAAGTCGCCCCTTTTGAAACTCGGGCTCCCTGAATCTATTACTTTTGATACTCCATGCCCATCGATAGGCTTTGCATAAAACACAACAACAAGTTAATAGGAAAAGAATGCCATCACAAGGTTGGGGTCATGTTCAATCTCTCAAGAACTTCTTTATGGAGTTTTGCAGCACAAACTTGAAGGAAATATGGGTTTAGTGAACTAAACATCGACGAGAATTCAGATGACACCACAGGATTATCCATAAAATCTTTGAATATTGGATTCACTAAGACATCGAGTGTTACCTCTGAATACAAAATTAAGAACTTATTGTTCAAATCCGGGGAAATTTCAATTCAAAGCAGAAACTTTTCCGTTTCTGGGTACTTGAGAAATGGCGGGATAATCATGAACAACAACAAATTGAAAAAAGTTCCCAAAACAGAGACAAAATTTCTCCAAAACCAGAGAAACAATGCGTACTTATACATTGTTCAATTTTACCTTGCCCGGGGTGAAAGCTCCAATTAGCGCTAAACTCGAGGGACTAGGTTTCCTCATGCGAATGCCCATGTACGGATCGCAAGACAAGTAGAGATTCTTCACGAGCACCGCCGTAGATCCGGCCGGAACACTGAGCTCCACCGCGGCGGTGGTGACGGAGAGGTCGGACTCGGCGACGAAACCGGTGGCGTAGTCCCTGAGTATCATCTGCTTGTTATTGACCACCGTCGCCCCGCCTCCGCCGTCCCCACAACCGGTTGACGCCGCCATCGACGGAATCTCTGCACCAGAGAAGCTCTTCCCCTTCTTCTTCTTCTACGTGGAGATGGATAAGAAGAGTCATGAGAAGGAATGGAAAACATTGCCATATCGGTGGTTGGTTACGTGCGGATGAGAGCTATCAGTTGCAATCAGCGTGCGTGACTCTCTTTGTGGTCAGGAATATATGATCCGATTGTTTTCAATTTTAATTTTTTATTTATTACAATAATAATATATTAACAAAACAATAATAATATATTGTCGCCGAAAAAAAAAAACAATTTACTGATAAGTTTTCCTAAACTAGTAATATCAAAAAATGATAAGAAAAAAACTATTAATTTCAAAATACTGTAATGATCTATCTTCATTTCATTGAATGTATATATATATATATACACAAATAAATGTCATCATATTAATTCGGCAGATCAACATGCAAAAGTGCTCTTTATGCTGCACATAGGGCTGTAAAACGAGCGGATTCGTAAACCAATCCATATTTTTTTTGAGTTAGACTCAAATATTTTGAGCAAAAAAAAATGGGCCAAACGAGCCAGCCCGTCATGAGTCAGGTTTGTGGCGGGTGAGCTCGTGAGTCGGACTGGCTCACAGAACCAATTTTTTTTAGAAAATTATAATATTTTTATATATTTTAAAATATTTTTATATACAAATTATATTTTTTATTACATATTTAGTTTATTTTTCTTTAAAAATGATTTATTTTATTATATTTTAAATATTTTAAATATTTTTTAAATATAAAATTAGTTTTAAATATTTTTTAATATTAAAATTTTATTTTTAAAAATTATATATTTGATTCGCGGGTCGGGTCGTTTGGCTCACGAGCTAAAACGATATAGGTTGGGCTGATTTATTTTTGGTTCGCTAAAAAATGGATTGGGTTGGATTGAACTAAAATTTTTCTGGATCGGAACGGGCCGGGCCAACCCATTTTACACCCCTAGCTGCACACACAAAATGCAAGGCCAGTCTCAAGGCCCATTGGGCCTGAAGTTCCCACACATTGAAGGCCCATTGAGCCGGAACTCACGTAACATTTTTTTTCCTTCCTTTTTTGGGTTTCACAAGCACGTCTTTGTCTTTACATTAAACTCTTCCAACATATAAAAAAAAAACATTTATTGGCAAAACTAGGTAGCTCGATTACATGAAGATAGCTGCATTAAAAGGCTCCTTGCTGTATGATGTGCCTCCTTTTATTGATATGATAGTATAAAGGTCTGTGATGGTTCATGAACACATTTCACAAGGTGTATAAGAGGCTACACGGATGACTTCTTCCATCTTCCCAGCTTCTCCATTCCCTGAAATCATATACCAGACCCAACTTATTTTCCCACCATCCAAATGTTTTCGTCGTAACGAGAGAAACCGAGATTTCGTATTTGATGGCTCACCTTGCGTGGTCCTTCAGCGAGTTCGTTATCCTCAATGGAGACAACCTCGAACCCTAGAGGGATCAGAATCTCCTTGTAGCTGAACATAAGAGGTTACAGAGTGAAAATGTGTCAAAAATAGGATTCCTTTGTGACTGTGATTCGGATGAGAAAGGACCAGGAACATGTTGGGAAAGGGCAAAAGTAAGAGAGATTGATTTACTCGGACACAGATATGCTGTAAGGAGGTCCTCCTTCACGATCATCTAACTGCAATTTCATATTCAGATTTCATAGATATGAGAAACAGAGGGCTAAAAGATTCGAAGCATTTTGATGGAAGCAAAATGAGAGATGTTATGATGCTTACAGGGAACATCAGCGTTATAAGCTCTCCCCCGGGTTTCAGAAGTTCTGCCACTCGCTTTCCCCATGATTGTCTCATGTCCGGAGGAAAGGCGGTCAAAAAACTGCGAGAATTGCCAGAATACAGTTTTATCAGGTAGAGTAATGCTTTATATTAACCACGAAATACATATAGAGGAAACATACGTGTAATCGAAAACGAGATCAAATTGTTCAGGCGGCTGCCAAGTGAAGAAGTCTTCGGCCACGAAGGAGAAATACTTTGAATTAGGCAGTGTGGAAAATATCTGGCATTGAGATTAAACAATGTGTTATAAAAACTGACAGTAAAACGAAGATATAAAGTCGCATGATCACAGATCAGACAATATCCTCACCTTTTCCGATCTCTCCACGGATGTTTTTGATAGATCTAACCCTACAACATGGCGCTCAGGGCATGCCATTGCCACCACATCATAACCCTGCAAGAACCATGCTTTATTTTGACTAACTTTAACACCAAATCTATTGCCATTCAGATTTCTACATGGGTTACTCGAAGTCGAAGAACATCAAACCCTAGACCAAACTCCAATCAAATTCCCAACCTTCAGTTCCTCAAGTAGTGACATATCTAAGCAAGCACGAGAAGGTCGAGGAGAGGATTATAGAGAGACTTACAGTGCCACAGCCAGGAACCAAGGCCCTCCCCTTAGGCAATGAACCTGTCTCAGAAAGATGAACAACAATGGGTGTAGCTTCTCCCAAGTCCCATGGAGTAATTCCCGCCTCCCAAGTCTTCTCCCACCCACCTAACAACGATCCATACACACACTAATAAATCCTGGTTATGCAAATGCGTTTACATCAAAAATTTCCCGATCACGAGGAGATGAGCAAAATCACGATCTTCACTTCATCCTTTTCCCGTCTTAGAACAGTACAAGTGGAGCATTTGCATACCACCCCACAACTTGGGTGGGGCCTACATTTTTTTTAAAATTATTATATTTATAATTTACAAGTAATATTTACTATAAAAAATTAAAATAGCAATTTTTTTAAGTTTTGTTTAATTCACTTAAAAAAATTTGAACACTTTTTCAAATGAGGTGGATACCTATTTTTAAAAAATAATTTTTGTTTATAAATTTATAATATTTAATATAAAATTAAGACCATTTTTTTAACATTGATCATTTGTATAATAATCAATTAATAAATATTTTGAATTATAGATAATCACCATATATTAAATTCATAATTTTTTTTATATTTATATCATTAAATTTATTAATTAATATAATATATAATTATAATTTTTTATAAATCTAAAATAAAATCTATATTATTATAGAATAACATTGATCTTTTAAGTCTAATTATTTAAAAATTATTTTTTTAATATCATATTATTTATTTTAAATATTTATTTTAAAAAATGATAAATATTTAAAACATAGTTTTTTACATCTTTAATCATATATTATATATATGATTATTTATTATTTCTAATGATATTATTATTATCACAATTTTTGTTATTAATATTTAATATTTTAATAATATTTATAAAAAAATATGTTTAATTTTTTAAAATTATAATTAAAATTTAAAATTAAAATAAATAATTTTTTTCTTGTACAGACCCACCCTGAAAATGTTTGGGACGGATCTGTTAATAACTCGAGAGCGTCGAAAACAACAAATCAGACAAACATTAGGGTTTGAGACGTTACCAGGGCCTTCCTTCAGAAACTCTCGGACCAAGTTGATCTTTTGATGGGGCAGTTTCAGGCCGGAGCCGTCGGATTCCGGAGCTCTAACGGAATTTTCCATGGATCCACCAGAGAGAACGACGACGGATTTTGAGGTTAGCTGTTCTACGGCGGAGCTGCGGCGGAGCGAATGATCGACGGCTATCGGTTCGGTTCATGGGTTCTGCAACCAGACCTATATATATACACTTCACATTTGTTGTGTATTATATTTCCCACTAAATCCAAAGAATTTTTAAACGCCACGTGGAGGTAACCACTAGGACTCGGTCAAATTTAGTGAGTTGACAAAAATTTAGACCTAAAAATGCAAAAAAAAAAACCATAATAAAAATATATTTTTTGTAAAATACTTTCTATTTAGATATTTTCAGTTTTTTTTCTAAAATTTGAAAAATATATTATTAAATTAAAAGAAAGTTCCGTAAAAATACCTCAATTGGTAAAAATTTACGATGTCTATACCCAATTTACAATCTACAATTCGAAATATTAATTAGTTAGATTGAAAATTGGGGTATACATATGGCAAAATTTTACTAATCGAGGCACTTTTTTTTTTAATAGAATTTCCCCTAAATTAAATTAGAATAAGATTAAGTTTTATTTGGATTCTTTTGGTCTTCCACCTACCCCAAATTGGTCAGCCTGAATTTTCAAAGTCATACAATGTAAACGCAGACATAAACCTTTGACCAAGTTTGGTCTTACAAAAATAATCTAAAGACGTTCTTATTACAATGTTGAATGTAAACCAAAAATTTAGAAGGACCCAAGAAGAATAGGTCTGTGTAAAAATTTACAATGGAATGATATCTTTTTTTCCCCAAATTGAGGAACAAAACAAACATGAGGGAGGAAGGATCAATCCAAGTAGAAGAGCGTGACAATCTTGCGGAGGTTTTTGGCTTCTTGGCATGTCTCCATGAGCAGTTTGCTGTCGTGGAAGGCGAAGCAGATGACTTGTTGCACTTGAGATATGATGTCCATGTTGCATAGCCTGCAGCAGAAAACAATGGAGATATCACTCTTCTGGTTCTGATCTTGGCTCAAAAGGGTTGATGATAGGGATGAATCAATGATGATGTAAATCCATGGTGGCTTATCGAAATAGAAACCAAAAATGGCACATGAGAAGGAATATCAGAAGAGCAGTCGCGGACCTGCTGGCTTCTATCAATGGCAAATGATCGTTGTGAGGTTTCTCTATCACGTTTTTCACCTGGAGGGACCCAAAAAAAAAACGAATGGGTTGTGATTTTGAACAGACGGATGCATAGAGAGCAACATGGTGTTAAAACCGGCATCTTACTTTGGCCAACAATTCCTGGCTCTCAGGAGGTTGTTTTTCCAAACTTTGGGGCAAGATGACGGTAAGAAGCTCTGGTTTCTCTGCCCTCAACGCACCTCTGATAACAGCCGCATTGGTCCCAGATGCACCTGATGTATATATATGATTTTTCTGCCAGACAACAAATCACCGCACATATATATTTTAAGAAACCACAGAAAAACAGATGGGGCAAACCCGTGTCTGGAAAGCACTATATAGGATTATGCAGGATGAAGTTCGAATGCCTTACTGTTATAACCATGGCATAGCTCAGAATCTCGATCAGCTCTTGGTGCATGAAACCCATATTCCTTGTTCCAAAGAAGCCAATTGATCTAGGCCCTTGTTGCTGTATCGCCAAAAGCTCCTGCCAATAAACACATGATATGATTACGACAAACGTGTAAAACGTTAGTTTTGCAAATGCTGCGAACAAGAAATATGAATTCTACCGGTAAAGCTACGAGCACTAGAGAATTGCCAAGAGAAAACAATCGTACCTGTATATAATCCACGTCAGGGATGGGTTTTACCTCCGACACCACAACTGACCCAGACCCTTCAACGAGAGACTGAGCCTGGGACGGAATTCGGATCCCAGTACCTTCATCAGATTCAAGCACACATTCTATATTTCTCCAATTTTCCAAGTCATCTTGATCTCTCATGTGTTCAGGAAAGCACTATATATATACCAGCAACATAAAAACAGAGTCCCTGGGAGTAAATCATTAGTGAAAACCAACTGCAGGAAAGATAAGCACAAGCTCACATTCAATGCTGGTCCATCAGAAGCAGAGCGAAATGCAAGCCCAAGATTTTATTTCTACCAATTTGACCAAAAAAACTCAAGCAAATTCATGTCAACCGACAATATTCTAAACATCAGAACCCATTATGAGATATGGAATATCTTGGAGAAATGTATAAGATAACCTATTAGGACATATTCCAGAGCCACAAACACTGGAACAGAATTTAACATGTATGTACCTAGAAGTTACCATTACCAAGAACCCGCATTAAGTGAATTCATAGTCTCGAAAACAGAAGACTGCCTACTTTCATATACGTTGGGGTGACCGAGAAGAACAAGGAAACCAGATGTGAAACACATATTACTTATCTATGGAAGTCCTAAATTCGTATATCCAAATTCAAAAACTTACTCCTACGTCAAAATCTTGATCTAGACAAAATGTGAATTACAAAGACAAGGGCTTTGTAAATGTAACACCTTTTAAACATCTATTCATCAAAAGACACTACGCACACGCTCTCGAGAAGGATCGTCGAAGTTTTCCCAAGCTCTGAACTCTTTAACTAAGATATTGCATTGAGAATGTAATCCATGAATCAGTGAGCAATGGCCAGAAATTTGGGAGGCAATGGAACTACAGTTAAACCCGAACTGGTGTGTATACATATGGAAGCAATACCAGAGTGTTTCAAGAACCGAATTGGGATGGGAAAAGCCGAATCTGAATTAGAATGATGTTTAAAACAATTTTAGAAACACAGATGTGGACAATACAATCTTCAAGAGACAAAACACCAATGGTTCAAACCCAACCCAACTGAGTACCTCTACCACAGCCGCAAAGCTAACCGTTCCGAACCAATGGTTACAACGGGTAAGCATGACCAACAAAACCCAGAATAAGAGAGGAATCGAGAATTACCATGGGAACGGAGGGAGAGGATCGTCGCCGTCCTGGGAAAGGCTCGGCATGAGAATGAGATTGGGAGGAGGAGGAGGAAGAGGAAGAGGAAGAAGAAGAAGCGGAGCGACGGCGGCAGAAATTAGGGTTCGTCGATCTAAGGGACGAAGGAGAATACGAATCTGGAGGAAGAGAACGGAGGGAAGTGGAGAGAGGCAACAAATGACTCAGAGGAAGAGCCGAACTCATTTCCCACTTTCTCTGTTTCCCAATCTATCTCTGTGCGAATCCGATGTTACAGATTACCGATCAGATTCCTCGGAGCTTTGAGCCGTTTTTTACCGTCGGGAGGAAGGAGATAACACAGAGAAAGCGAAGAGGGAGGCCACCACCAGATCGCTAACAGTACATGTACATGTGGGAATCCCAACAAAAAGGAAAATCGATTGAAATTTCGCATTTTTAATTATAAAAAAAAAATTATTTTCCACTTTTGAGAATATTCTTTCATAGAACCGGAAAAAGGGATACATACTCTCACTTTACAAATAAGAAGCTTTTGCATCATACAATATAAGAAGAAGAAGGAAAAGAAGGATTTGTTTGATACAAAAGTCGAGATTAAGAGAAACAATTAAACATTAAAGGGTTAACAATATGAGATTTGAGTAATCAATCATATCACAAGTCCCACCTCTTCTTGACTCGGAACATCAAGGCAGAAGACTTGAGGTTATCTTGCGGAACTTGAAGCATCAACTGCACTTTCATCTTCAATGGCGTTGTCTTCACTTTCCCTGCTTCATCCCCCACCTGCACATAACATCATAAAACAACCCCCTCCCCTCTTTTAGTAGATAGACAGCTACTAAAGTCCAAATGAGATGCGATGGGACGGGTTTTGAGTGGTGTTCTGTAAGAGTAAATGGAAAAAGACCGCCCGGGCTTCGAGGCTTACCCAGAGAGATGCCCAGCCTATGCGTATTTCTGAATCGTAACCAGCTTTGAGTTTGTAGTCATTGCCATACTTGCGTTTGTACACGGCACTCCACACATTGGAGTCAAACTTGTAAGAATAGCTGCATATTTGTCATCACGACATCGTATTTTCACACGTCAGTATTGAACTGGTGTTGCAGAAGGGATGAAACTCTAAGAGTCTAGGATAAAAGATCAGTTTACTCTTTCTTTGCATGAAAACAACATGAGTGAGAGAGAGACACCAACCTCAACTTATCTAGAGGACTGAATCTACGCTTGAAATCAAAGGACAACGCATTGGAAGGGAGGGAAATGGTTGGGCTGAAAGTCAAGGCATCATCCTGTATGTCAAAATAAAGCCCTAGTGTCAGTCCCACTGCATTGGAACACTCTAAGACGGGATGCTTTTTCCAAATGCATAGCCTTTTCTACAAGTCCTTGCAAGAGAAAGGGATGGGGACAAAAACCTTGTAAGCATATCTCATCCTCAGTTCTTCATCTGAGTATTGCGCAGTACAAACACCATTCAAGACTTTATGTTTGAGGATTCCATCAACAGATAAAATTCTATTCTTCTCCTCCTCCTCCTCTTGTTTTTCTTGCAACGAAACTTCCCCAAGCGGGAATTTGAGGGTCGCTCTTGGCTGCAGGAACGGAAGCTAATCAGGCAGGGAGTAACAAGGATACAATGGATTAAGACACTAACGCAAATGAAGTAGGCAATTTAGAAAACAATCTCAGGGAATTTCTCATAGGAAACTACCACAAACACCAAAATGACGATATAAAGGGTTACTCACGTAACCAGTAACAGGGACAGGGGATGATAGTTCCAAAGAATAGCCAGGTTCACCCAGATTTGCCTCCATAGCCACTTCCCCTTCTTGTGCCTGGCAATATACAGTGAAACCTAACAATCAGTAAAGCCGCTACAAAATACATTCAAATAGTAGCGACCACCAGGCATCATCATGAAACAGAAAGGAACCCAAAAGCTTTGCTTTGACTTCTACTCTAGTTTAAAAACTTCCTGGCATGCATTACCATCTAAACCAACAGAGACAACCATCTGACTCTATCAATCCTAAAGATAATTCTTTTGATGAAACATAAACCCACATCCAAGATTCGTAATTTTTAGGGTCAGACAGATCCTGCAGAAGCAACAACCGAGGGAAACCTACGTCAAAATCTTGATCTAGACAAAATGTGAATTACAAAGACAAGGGCTTTGTAAATGTAACACCTTTTAAACATCTATTCATCAAAAGACAAATCCAAAGAGCAAAAAAAATGTACCTTGACATTATGAAGAGCACGAAGCTGAAGGCGAGGGCTGATGGCGACGGTGCTCTTGAGGAAAGCATTATGCTCCTCGAGATCGTAGAGGATGGAGAGGTACTTGGAGGTGAAAGAGAGCTGGGGCTGAGAGACCTGGCGCTGAGCGTTATTCTGGAAAGAGAGCTTGACCTTGCCGAGATTGTCGAAGAGCTTGCAGGACAGTTTGTTGAAGAATACGAGGCTGTCGCTGTCGAATTCCGACGTCACGCGGAGCTTAGGTCGTCTCAGGCCGGAGAAGGCGGAGGATGACGGCGACTCCGAGGTTTCCGCTTGAGGAGACGGATCCGCCATTGTTGTGGGTTGGTGAATCTCTCTCTATCCCTCAGACAAACGATTCAGCTGAGCAAAGAGGAGGGAGCCTTGAACGGAAGGTTGTGATTTTAGGCGGAAACTTTGATGGCGACTTTTCTCCTATTTTTTCGCCCATTTTCCCCCCTTCTTATATTATTTGCAAGGGAAAAAATCTATATAAAAAAAGACAGTTAATTAAATGATTGGACAAACATATGGATAATTATATAAAAATTTTATAATACTATTATTTATTTTTAATATGATATATTATTATATTTTAGAAATATTATTATATTTTTTATTTTTTAATAATTTTTATAACTATTTAGATTCATGAATGACTGAAGTTTTAAACGAAAATTTTTAAAGTTAATAATTTTTTGGACGTTTTTAAAAAGATTGTATATTTATTTGGATATTTTAAATGGATCATTTGAAAAAGTTGAAGGATTTTTTAGATTTTTTCTCTGTAAAATGATCACAAGTTTTCCAATGCTATACAACATGAAGGCAAACAGCACATAAATTATAATTTTGGGGGGGCTCTCTTTAATGTTTTTTTTTTTCTTCAATAGGAGTTTACGGATGGATAACTTGAAATAAATTTAAGAACTAGAAGAAAAACAAAATAAAAATTTAAACTTATTGTGGCCCATGCAGGTCTCGAACCTGCGACCTTCGCGTTATTAGCACGACGCCGATTTTGATTTTCCGCTCTAACCAACTGAGCTAATAGGCCATTTGAGATTATGTAAATTACAAAAATAAACGAACATTAAAATTTAAATTCTCAAGAACCGGCCCACCTTCACGAGATTCAGACCCAATCACTCACCTGGACTGGACCGCACACCTTTTTTTTTTATTTCCTGTAAAAATGTGACGTTATTATCAAAAGTGTCTTTGACATTAAAAAAGAAGAAAGCTAACCCAAAAAATTCTACTCAGTACGATTGTCCCTTTTGATATATATATGATAATAAAAGCTCTCCTTGACATGAAACAATCTCCTTCTCCACCGGCTTTCACATGCCACCTCATCAAACACAATCCCCCTCCCCCTTTATCAGGACCTGCTCGTATCATTATCATTATCATCATCACCATTCATTCGGTGTTGAGAGCAACGGCCTTTCCCCGTCCCATCGAGAATCCCCTGGTCCCATCCGGCATCCGAGGCCCTGGCGGTGGCTGCTGCTGCTTCGGCTGCTCTGACGGCACCGTCACGTTTTGGTTAGGGTTATGGTTGAAGTGGTGGTGTGGTTGACCTCGTCCACGCCCCTTTCCCCTACCTCGGTTACGCCCTTTTCTCTGCCCACCTCCTCCTCCCACCTTCTCGTTCCCATGCTCCTCTCCCTGTTTTGCGTGTTTCGTTATGTAATGTAATAATGGAAGAATCTGCTATCCACAGTTCATGATCGATCATAAAGGCTACTTACTACTGTATTGTCTGGATTATCCCACTCTCCTAAAGATTCTTCACATTTCTTGTCATTTGGATGCTGCTGCTCTGATGTAGCAGCAGCTTCATCTTCTTCCTCGTGCTGTGCTTCCGCGTCATGCCCTTTTCTTCCTCGTCCTTGAACATGTTTTTGGTCCTTTGTCTGTACCCAACTATGAAGATTAATAATACGTAGAACCGAGCAGAATGTAATAAAAGTCTCAGATCATACATCTGAATAACATCAAGGTCATGACCAGTCTCCATAACAATGATGCCTTTCGCTAAATCCTAAACCGCATACCTGATGATGATGATGTTTTAGCATCAAGTGCACCCTAAGACCACTCCTCCAGTTGCCTTCTTCATTTAATTCGGCTACCTGCCAAAACAATACGCCCTCGGTTATCACATTGGTACAAGAGTAAAAAAAGGCATAGCTTAAGAGATATTTAATAAAGTAATGAGAGACTCACTGCTTTCTCAGCCAGCTCAACTGTCTCATACTCAACAAAAGCATGTACCTACAAGAACAAAATATGAAAAAGGCCAGTTTTGCATAAGTCATTGTACATGGTTTATGCAGTATAATTTATTCAATTCCATCTGGTTAGTTACCTTGTTAGTGAAAAGTGCACCATCACTTTTGGCTGTTCTTGCAGCTGATGGAGCACCACTGCCTGAATTTTGAGGCTGGCAGGTGCGGATGTTCTTCACACTGGAAAAATAATCGAATAATTTCAGATCTGTGGACCTATAAGTCGGATAAAACAATTTTTGGTCTGTAAGAACAACAAGCAGTACCTTCCAACTGCCGAGAAAATCTTCAGCAGATTTTGATAGCAATGATCCTCGGGTAGATTTTCAGCAACAACAATGCGGGACTGTATATGTTCCAATTTACACATTAAGCTAACGCTCTTACAAGAACATTATTGAGGAAGGCCAGATAGATCTGTAATATAACTGGAGTGACTTAAACTGTGACTTTTAAGAACTACCTGGAGTTCTTTTATAGAGGAGTCGGTAATAGGATGTTGACGTCTCACTTTCTTTCCATCTTCACTAACGACCTGTTAAGCGACCCAAAACTGTTAAAATCTTTCCCTTTAGCTTTAACAATAAGAACATAAAAGACAATGTGCAATGCATTTAAGGTCAGATACATAGCACATGGATAAAAGTGATAAAGGGAACTAACAAGCTTTGAAGAGCTCTGCAGTACAGCAGCGAGCTGAGAATTACTGCTAATGACGGCCTTAATCTTCTTGAAAGATGCAACAACATGTATTGGCACTGAAATCCAATATAAAAGTTTCAGCTAAATTGTATGATATTTTTAAAAGAGAGCTCAAGAAAGAAATTCATGGATTTTACAGAGAACACCTCAGAAGAACAAACACAATATCTTTACATCTTCGGTCACTAGCTCAGCAAATACAAAAGACAATGCAATGCATTTTAGCAACAGACATCATACCATTTCCTTCAGGATCCTTGTTGATGAATCTGATTAGATGATCGGTGGTAGCTAAATTCAAGTCGCTGAAATAGTATTCGACCTGAAAACGACCGGAATAGTAAAAAAAAAGCTTAGAAGCAAAACCAAATAGATCCATGTAGTAAATATGAAGCGACTTCTCCAGCTACCAACACAAAAGATTTGTCCTTCCACATTATTCAGAAATCAAACAGGATTATAAATTCGTAACATAATCAACCCTGCATCAATTGATCAACCGCATATGTTTCATCATAAGTTTTTCCCAAGGATATGTCTCAGATTCTTCACACATTCCTTCAGCAGACATCAAGTAACACAGCCTTCTCCCATACAGCTTTACTCCACTCTCCAATACCCAGACCACTAAATAACTGGAAAACCTGAGATTCTATTCTATCTTCGGCAAAAATATATTATATCGAGCAGGCAGGGCAAAACGATTGATGTGCTACTTCATAAGTGAGGGATGTGAACGGATTGAAGCTCACCTGGTTCACTATCTTCTGGACGGTGTCCTCAGGTAAGCCACTCCTGGGATCAATAGAAACAGTAGCTCCACTATCACCATGATCCTTCTTAGGATCCTTCTTATGATCTTTCCGGCGATCATGATCGCCTCTCTTCACGACTGCATTGGAATCCTGCTCCCCACCTCCCCCGCGCTGCTGATAATCGTGGTGGCCGTGATTCCGCACCGGGACAAAATGTTGACTAACATGACGACTCTGATGATGAGGGATGTGATGCGGAAGGTGATGGGGATGTTGATTCTGCCCAGGGATCATGTGAGGCGGAGGAGGCATTGGAACCGGACCCTGAATCGGAACACGAAACGGCGGCGGATGATGGTACATATGAAGCATACCCGGCGGAGGAGGAGCCGGGATCATCATCCTCGGCTGCGGTGGAGGCGGCGGAGGTGGAGTAGCAGCTCGACCAGGCACGAACTCGGGAGCTCCGGCGTTGAGCCGACTAGACGAGAGACTCCTGGAAAGAGTCGGATCTGAGGAAGAGGAAGCAGAAGAAGATTGGGAGGGAGGTAGATCATCGGACTGAGTAGAGGAATCTAGGTTTTGCTGATCAGCCATGAGTAGTAAATCAAAAATAGATTTTACAGAAGCAGATTCAGGGGGATTTGAGTGGAAAATTAGGGTTCCTGAGGATCTTGAGGTTAGGGTTTAGGGATTGGGGGAAGAAGGGAGAGAGCAGATCCCCGGACAAGAGGAAAGGGGAAGAGCGAAGAACACTGTGATGTGTTTTTTTTTTCTTGGAGAGAAATTCTCGGGCTCCATGATTGTGTCCTGTCGAGTATTTATAGCCTTTTTTGGTCCTTCCATTGTTACCAATTTACTCTTCGAAAATAACGAGAAATAATCACAGAAAAATAATAAAATTAAAATTAAAATTAAATAATTCCATCATTAGGTACATTCCCATTTCAGGCAAAAAGCTGAAACATCAACGCTTCGGGAGTTACTTTAAACAAAGAACTCAGAACATGAAAACAATTTGAAGCGATTTATGGTTCATACGAAAAAAAAAACAGAACCGGTGATGATGAAATATTCAGGCAGAGGACGAAACGGAAGCTAGTGTCGTGATCTTCCATGTTTCAAACCTGTTTCTGATAGCTTTCCAGAATGCAGGAACAGCCACGCTGTCCGGAACTTCTTTGAATGACGGCAAGTAGTTTAGATCCACGATCACGTGATCTCCTGTTCCTTCCTGAATCTGAGGAATCTCACCAGAACACATAGAAACACACTCTTGTAGTTCAGTCTTGTCTGAAAGAACTAGTTATGCACCAGACAACGAGATCGAAAGACTTGTAATCAGGTACTTACAACCACGTCGAAGCCGAAAATCGTAAGATCAAGCTTTCGTCTGAGCCAGTTCGCGGCATCTGTAACTAATCCTAAGTCAATCTCGCTTGCGGAGTTCTGGATTGCGGTACCAGTTGGCAAAGACTTTAAGCTGCAAAAGGGGACACAGCCATCGCCGTTATGATCATCAGCAGGCGAAATCTATGTCCATGAACAGTCGAATATGAAGAATATAGGGACGGAGCCTTTGCCGTTATGATCATTGGCATGTGAAATCTATGTCCATGGACAATCAGAGATGAAGAATACAGGGGAAGATATGGAATCTACCTATCAAAGAGTATAGGTCTGAGACCATTTTCCTCAGCTGATCTCCTCAAACAGTCTGAATTAGGAGTTGACTTCTTGACTGCGTGGAAAATTTTCTCGCCGAGGACGTAAAACTTGAAAATCCTGGACGAGTGGTCTACATATTCCTGCAAATTATAGGTTTCAGCCATTACATCCGAGGAAATAACCATCCACAAGAATCACCCAGGCTCTTTTTTATCGTTATCTGGCCGTGTTCCACTTGACATGGTATCTAGGAATTTGACTCAAGTATTTGTTTCCGATACATTGGCTTACCTGAATAATAGCAGGAAGAGGAACATTCAAATCTTTAAAATCTTCAATTCGAAAGACGATTGCCTGAGATATCAGAAGAGGACGACGTGGGAAACAAGAAAATCTGTTCTTCACCGTGAAAAGAATAACAGAAAATCACTGATACTCAATTGAGAAAGATAAGAGGCAAATAGTCACCATGCTGTGAGCATCAGCAACACCACAGGCAACCTGAGGTTTCACAATGCATGGAAGAGACAGCCCAGATGTAGATAACTTGTGATTCATATCAGGATCACTGAAACTGTCGACCTGGAAATAGGAGACATGGTAATGGACTACTCAAATCACAAATAATTCTAGGACAACCATCAAAGAACATATCATGCCATAGATGTGAGGCATGCATAAAACCTAGAGGGAGAAGATGAAGATCAGGAGGAAAAAAAAGAAAGGTTTAAGACCTTGAGAAAGCAAGCCCCCCTTATCTTTCGGCCTGTCGCAGTAAGATCCTCCAATCCAAGAAGAATGTGTTGCATCTTGAGCCGGTCCAGGACAGGATAAATATGGTCAAGAGGGTCAACTACAACAGAAGCATTTTGATTTTCCATATACCTGCAGGGAACTTACAGTTGTTGTTACGGACTTGTATGGATGATATTTACTGTTTTCATTGGTTAACTTGTTTGTAAGCTAGCAAGATTTCTCATCTTAATGGAATCTTGCTAGACTCATTGGTTTCCCTGGAATTCAAGAATCTGGAAACATACCGTCTAAGTTCCTCCATGCCAGTAGAGAATGTAACTGTAACAGAGGAGTTTGAGGAGCAGCCATTCAGTTGAATGGACAAGATTTCATCAGTTGCTTTGTGGAAAATGATATCAGCATGTTTGACTTGAGAGGACAGAGGGAACTCAAACATGAGGGGCAGAAATATCAACCCATTTGGAGTAGGATACATGGGTAAAGCACCCCTCTAACGAAGTCAGGAAATAAAAATCTTTTCATCAGTGGCTAGCTCACAAGTTTATGCAGCACATCATATATTGGATCGAGGGAATGAAAAAATCAAGTCTTTTCTTTTTCCCAGGTAAACATAATAAGCCAGAGAAGTCCAATTTATTGATCTAAATCAGTAAGAACGTAGCATTATTCTTCACACCACAGTACATAGAAAACTCAAACTATAAGTATTGTCATACAATGTTGAAAAGTTGATTTTCCAAATAAGGTTCTTACCTTGGCAAAGTCTTCCACCCGAGATGGCTTCATAATGTAACCAACTACAGCAGCATCATTACCTATAGCCTGTTTAGGCAGGTCAAACCAAAACAGTGAACGAAATGGTAATAAATTCAAGAAAATGGAGAAGATAATTAAGCATATCCATTATGTTTTTATATTCTGCAGGTTGTAGCCCATAATTGATCTGTGCTTTCTTCAAAGAGACGAGAATATTCTCCATTTAAGAAACTTTCGATATGAATCAACAACACTAAGACGAACCTCTTTGTTCAGGCAGCAAATAGTCAATGGCAACTCTTCAAGGTTGCGGATATGAAACAAGCTAGAATCAGATGAAGCGATTTCTTCAGCATCTGAAATGCAAGGAAAATCCAGATCAGGCTTACGAGTTAACAAGCCGAAAACTTTGGGACCTCCATGAAAGTTGTCAGTACAAATATCCAACCTTGCTTCTACCGTGCTGCAGGCTTTTAATGATTCACAGGATTTCACACATTCAACAGGTCCAGAACTTAAAATTGCAACCCATAACTAAAAAAACTTGCAAGGAAAACTTGAAATGGACTCAGCTTAGAACATTGATTCAGACACTGAAAATGCATCGGCTTTCATGGGAAAGGAGATCGCCATTGTTACTCACCAAGCACAACAACCAGAAGACTGCAACATAGTTCACGCAGAGCATTTTCTTTTCTGCCTGAAGCAACACACAGAATTCTCCCATCATTAACCCATGCTTTGAGAGTATCACCGAAAGAAACACCTGTTGAAGATGACTCTAAAGGAAAACAATCAATTGAATATTCCATGGCCGTCTTTCTCAGCACATCCACCTGTGACATAAGGAAGACAAAGCAAATCCGTCACAATGTTAACAGCTATACAAGACCAAGGTCTGTACTTGAGTACAATCCTAATAGTGGATTAGAAAGAGAGAGAAAAAGTCCTTGTTTATGGAAAGATCAAACCTTGTTTCCTGGTAGATCAAGCCCGTATGATATCCCCTGTGTGGCAGCGAAAAAATCCAGTTTACTGGAATCAGTATACTTAAGAAAGAAATCAACATCGACAAGATCAACAAAACCACCAAAAGAACGACATCGGTCAATGTTCAAGCTATTTGGACCGTAAACTCAAATCTGTATCGTCTGGCTCCTCAAGTTTTCAGCAATCCCGGAGAAAAATCGAAGTCCAATTGAAGAATAATCACTTTCCGTTTCCCAGAAAACTTCACTGCTACAGCTCAGATCGCAAACTAATGGGCTCTTCAGACAGTTAAGAAAGAAACAAGCCACCATAGGATACAACCAATTCCAGAACTTGGGCATGCAAAAAGTTTACTAGCAGAAACGAGTGCCGGTTTGAAACGCAAGAGGAATCGTGGATTCTATTTCAGGAAGCAATCAGTTCAATCCCACAACTGCGGCTCTAAAAGGAGCAGAGGGATCGTACCGTACGGATCATGGAGTGGCGGAGCCGCCGGAGAAGAGCTGGGACCGATGATCGCAGCCGCGGCGTGTCGCGATCCCCATTGCCGGAGCTAAGCAATACGGACTCGTCAAGTAAGACCGCTCTTATCTCTCCCATCTCTCTCTCTCTCTCTCTCTCTCTCTCTGCGTCCGCTTGAGAAAAAAAGTGGAGCAAATGCGGTGGCGAAGAGCCGTTGCGGCATCGGCGAACGTGTTATTATTCTCCACGGAATTGACCGTTTTACCCTTTCTTTCGTTGTACGATGGGAGGGTAATTCCGTAGTTAACTAGAAAAAATGGGGGTCTAATGGCATATACCTAAAAAGAACGAAGAAAGAAAAACGATAAAATCCTCCGCCAAAGGGTTTCATTTTGAAATCAGATCAGGAGATCAGAAGAGTGAGGGGCTTGTGGATTTTGGAATGTCTGAACGATGAATCGCACATCATCTTCGTCAAACCTCGAAACTAAGAAATTCTTTCAATCGCATCGTCAGCCGCAGCTGCCGTCGAAGAAGAAGGAGCGGATTCCTCGGAACCCGTTGAAAGATGTCAACAGTAGAAGCTCCGGCGCCGGCGGAAGAAGCAGCAATGGCGGCGTTTCCGGGTCGGTTTCCGGTCAAGATCCTTACGGTCGTGTCAGGCTCTTGCTCTCCCATTCCGGTTCATTATCATCATCATCGTCTTCTTCTTCTTTGGGAGCTTCTCTAGGCCATGGACCTGTGAGATCCGTCTCTAAAACTCCCAAACCAGCTCCTGGAGTGACTAAACCCTTACCGAGAAATAAAGGTAGGGTTTTGGGAGAGATCAAGCAGAAAGACGGTGTTTCCGAGAAACTCACTTCGCAGCAACCCTTGAAATGCAAGAGAACCAATGTAATGTCACGGTTGGGGCATTGTGGCAAGAGACCCACCGGTAAGAGTACTCTGAACTCCAACAAAACTTCAGCTTTAGATGAGTTTCCTTCTGATTCTAGAGAGCTTAAGCAAAAGGAGAGTGGAACTACTGTGAGAATTCAAGTGGATAGTACCTATGTGACTCCTGTGTGTAAACCAGGAATCGGATCTGGTCAAGGGTATGGCCATGCCGCTAAAATTACGGCTGATGGTAGACCGAGCATCGGTAGGAGTCCTAATGACAGGACACCGCCTGTACAGGAATCAGTATCTCCAGAATTACAGTGCGGATCGTCTATGATGTTGTCAGCAGCAACAAAATCACAAGTTTGCTACGCCACCGGGCATATACTTTCGGGTATCAGTGATAAGAGGAAATGCAGGCCTAAAGGGATACTCATTGTAGGTGAAAATGGTTTGAACGTCAGTAAGCCTAAGCCACTGAATAATTTTGATGATGCAGATTTTGCCGGTAGAGATTCTACAGTGTTAACGATGCCTTTGCCTGCTGATGCATCTATGCAATGGCTTTCATCTCCCTGTGATGAGGAGAAAACCCATGAGAAGGAAACTTTTGGTGACGATTTGTATCAGTTTCAATGGGCAGTTGGGTGTGAAGGCTTAGATACCCCTTCGCCACTATCGGATCATAGTATTTCTTCAGATGTATGCAACATCAGTAGTGGCATAAGTCTTTCTCCTGAGCATAGTGGTAAAGGGATGAGGAGAAGTACCGGTTCTTTGGTTTCTCCAAATGAGCATTCTCGCTTAAGAAGTTTTATGTACCCTTCATCAGATAAGGATATGTCTTCAGCATATGATACTACCCCGACTTGTGAGGTAGATCTGTCACTGCATTCGGAAGAAGTGAGAAATCATAGGTATTGTATAGGAGACAAAAGGTCACCCTCCTCCTTTGACACTATGGGACGTGAGAATGTAATGAAAACACCGGAATCCAACTCAAGCTCAGCTAAGTATCACCGTCTCTCATGGTTCCAAACTGGAAGACATAAGAGCCATGACCTTGATTCAGATTTTGATTCACTTACTGTGGCCCTTAACTCAGCCAGTTTGTCGCCAAAGAGCCATGCTTCGTCTTTGGATCCAAACAGTTCAAGCTTTCATTTTGAATCTCTGGCCACATCTTCAGATTCCGTTGATCTTTCGCTGTTCCAGAGAGTTTTAGTCAACAGAAGTTCATGTCTTTCCAATTCGACACTGGGTGTGACGATGTCGTGGAGGGAAGAAATAAGCAGCCAGATACCTGAAATTGCAGAACTTGATAGCTGTAGAGACCTGTCAGATGAAGAAGAATCTATGAACGGTTCAAGTGTCAAACAACTTCCGAAAACTGGATGGATTCAGAATAATGGTACTGACGCAGGAAATGATAAAAGAGGTGCTCGATTGTCTGGTCAGTTTGTCAGCAAGGGAACCGCTTCGGCAGATACTGTCGTCATTACTTGTTCCGCAGCAGAGTCGATAAGCACTGACGGTGGAGGCCTGATTCGTTCTGAGGATTCGGATTGGATGTCATGCTACAAGAATCACTTCCTCGGAGTATAGTTTAGAATCAGTTCCTTTGTTAGCACATCCTTCCTAACAGATAATTGGAGGGACGTTTCTTCTGTTGCCATTAGAGGACAGCAGGTGAAACTCTCTTTTACTTCTGAGTTTTCCACTGCAGATAGGGTTTTCTCCTCAGATTACACGAAACACGCTGTGGTCTTTCAGTAATATATTTTGGTCGTACATCCCAGTACTCCTGTTGGTTTTAGTTAGATCTCTGGTTCAGCAAAAACATGTATTTGGGTTTGGATAATGAAAATGACTAACTGTTCAAGCAACTCACACTGTTGCACAAATAAAACAGCAAAGATACAGAAGATGCAAGAACCTGACCTGAGCTTCTTCTATGGCCACTGCTTCCATTCATGTTCATGGAAGAACCACTGAGAAACTGAAGATATCTTAAAATAGGCCTGAACAAGACAATTACAAACCGTGTTCACTTTTATTTCTCAGGGTCCTTTTTCAGTTTTTTTAGTTGTCCAAAAAGAAGTCAAACCGAAAGCCACTTGACGAGATAGAGGCTTCAACTGGGGAGACCAGACGGACCAAAGTGGAAGCTTGTGCTAGCGAGAGAGAGGTTAATACAAAAAACCCTCCTTCCGAGTTTCAGGCTTCAGTCCTACATTTCTCTCCGACGAAAAGATGGAATCTTTAACTTCGCTGCCGCGCCTCCACCTGACGCCGACGGCACGCCGTCGATTCCACCGCCGTCATCATATCTACGCCGCTCATTTTAACGGTGGTTCTCCTGTAAACAAATCCAACAGCCTCTCGTTCACCGCATCTGCATCAGGTATGATGCTTATCGTAATTGTCTAATGGTTCAAGCGCTTTCGTTTCCTAGGATTGGGAATGCTGAGATTCGAAATGCTGTTTTGATTCTAGGGTTGTCTTCCCCAATTTCAATTGAGAAGGAGCTACGCGGATCGTTCGTGCAGACGGCTGCTGTTCGCCAGCTGACAGGGTCTCTTATCAAAGGCGAAGGTCTTAGGTTCGCTGTGGTGAGTTTTTCATGTCATCTACATAGCCTTAGCCTCGTGGGTTCAGACTGTGAAAAGCTTTGATCACGCTTATGAGCATAAAGTAATCGTTCACTTCATTGATTTTGATGGGTTTTCTCATTGTTAGATATGGATTGGGATTCTTTGTATTCCCTGTTTCTTACTGGTTCTGATTTACTTGCTCATGTTTGCCTCGGTGAATCGAAAATTTTCGGCTCTTTGTTGTTGCCATTGACTAGTTTTTCACTTTGTTTTATGTTTTGGAAGGTTGTAGCTCGTTTCAATGAGGTTGTGACAAAGCTGCTTTTGGAGGGAGCCCTTGAAACTTTCAAGAAGTATTCAATCAAAGAAGAAGATGTGGAGGTATGTTATCGTCCATTAAATCTCTTTTGCAAAGTCACCATTGGCAAAAGAACTGTATTTCACATTCCTATGCAGGGAACGGTATAGTTTGTTCCAGGCAGATCAAACTGATATATATTCTCTTGAATCAGGTTGTGTGGGTTCCTGGCAGCTTTGAAATAGGGGTGGTTGCCCAAAGGCTTGGGAAGTCGGGAAAATATAATGCTGTTCTGTGTATTGGTGCTGTGGTATTGTTCTTGCTTTAAAGTCTTCCTCACAAGTCACAACACATCCCAATGTGTTTTTTTTCCTCAATCACTGCTTAAAGGTTTAAAATTTTTTGCCTTTCGGGGATGTAATTCCTAAAGTTTGTACTTTGATGAATATCTGTCCTTGTTATGACTTAGATAAGAGGCGACACCACTCACTATGATGCTGTTGCCAACTCCGCTGCATCAGGAGTCCTTTCTGCCGGCATAAACTCAGGTTTATTATTGATGTTGCTTTTGTAACCTTTTTGTCTAAACCTGGGAATATTCACGAGTTGCTGTCTCTGGGAGATTTACTTGTTATGAAAGATTATCACCATCCATCGCCTTATAGTGTAACGATCACTCCTGAAACTTTAGGTCGGCGTAATTTACCGTACTCTTAGTCAATGCAGGTTCTTTTATTAGTTTTATCTTTTCACATTTTTATCCGCATTTGCAATTCTCTCACCAAATCTCGATATCCCTCATGAAATTAGATGAGTCTTGCCTGAGGTCTTAAGCTTATATTCCAAAAATGCAGGTGTTCCGTGCATATTTGGTGTACTGACATGTGAGGACATGGACCAGGTAAAGTTGCAATATGCAAAGTTTGGATATCTTTTAGCTTCATTCAGTTCGGAGAAAGTCAACTTAATATCGTTTTTATACATGAAACTCTAGGCTCTGAACCGGGCTGGTGGCAAAGCAGGGAATAAGGGTGCTGAAGCTGCCTTGACTGCCGTAAGTCACCATCAAATCTTACCTAGTTTCTGCCACTATCCGTTCATTTAGTAGACTTCTTGTTGCAATTTTGATCTCCAGTTAATGCCTCTGAATCTGGGGAACATTTTGTAATATGCCCGATTCAACTCAATATTCTTTTTTCTCGTCTTCTGCAGATCGAGATGGCATCCTTGTTCGAGCACCACCTGAAATAGAAGCAGCTTCTGTGCCATGGACGACCTTCTTGGTTACAACAGCTTGAGGATCCTCAGTTTTAACCTTTCGTTATCATGGAACCATAGTGTTTCCTTCTCTAAGTTGTGTCTTTGCTTGGTCTGCATTGACCAAGTCGGGTCCTTTTTCCTTTTTCGGCTATTGTGACTCTGAATTATTCAGGATTCTGAGAAAAAAGGGGGTATTTCATCACCGAACAAAAGTTTAGTCCTTTATAGAATATTTCTGGAAATCCGAGGGGGTGAAGAAATAAATAAATGCCTTTTGAATCTTTAGAGGACCAATGATCAAATGGGCCACACGGGCAGGCCGCGTGGTTCGTTGGAAATTTTGTCGGCCAGCGAAGATTACGCCACGTGTCACCTTTTTTTTGGTCTTTAGTTCACGATGACGTAACCTCGAAATTTCTCACTCATTGGTCTGGGAGCGTCTCTCTCTACTCTCGCTCTGTGTCTGAGCTTCTTCTTCATCCGAGTCTCTCCAGGTAATTCAATTTCTTATGATCACTTTCTGACCATTGTTCTTCTTTATCCTGTTTCTGAGTAATTGTCAGTGTTCTCGATCCGATCGGAGAGTGGATTACGAGGGATGTGAGTTGGTCGAGTTGTTGGATTCTTTGTCTGATTGTTCGAGTTGGCTGATTTCGATCGATCATACGCCGATCTGTTAGAAACTTAGCATGAACTGCGTGTTTACTGTTTTAGATCGGCATTTCCGATCTGTATTTTGTTTGTTGGTGTTTTTGTCACCAGATGGTTCTCTGTTCGAGCAGATGAAATGTATGTATACTTGATCTGTAGGTTGCTCGGTTCGATCTTCCTCTTGGATCAAACTCTAGATTTTCCTGTTTGAAGATCTAGTGCTCTAGTTGGTAAAAAACTATCATTTTCTGTTTGTTTGATTTCATCAGTTGTAGTTCGTGTCTCTCTATGCTCTTTGTCCTTCCTTGTGTACTTTCGTTTTCTGTCTTGGTGCTTGATTGGTTGTTTTGAGCAAACCAGTTGCTGCGTAGATATGGCGTCGTCTGATAAGCCGGAAGTTGTGGAGAGAGGTCACAAAGAGGAGGAGAAGGACGAAGGGAATGGCGGATTCATCGACAAGGTGAAAGATTTCATCCATGACATTGGTGAGAAAATCGAGGAAGCGATCGGGTTTGGGAAACCAACTGCGGATGTTACCGCGATTCACCTCCCTAAGATCAATCTCGAGAGGGCAGACGTAGTTGTAGATGTGCTCGTGAAGAATCCGAACCCGATCCCAATCCCTCTAATCGACATAAACTACCTGATCGAGAGCGACGGGAGGAAACTGGTGTCGGGTTTGATCCCGGATGCTGGAACCATCAAGGCTCACGGGGAAGAAACCGTGACAATACCCGTGACTTTGATCTATGATGACATCAAGAGCACTTACGACGACATTAAGCCCGGGATGATCATACCTTACAGGATCAAGGTCGATCTGATAGTGGACGTTCCCGTGTTTGGAAGACTGACCTTGCCCTTGGAGAAGAAGGGAGAGATCCCTATCCCTCACAAACCCGATGTTGATCTCGAGAAGATCAAGTTCGAGAAATTCTCGTTCGAAGAAACAGTAGGGGTTCTCCACCTGAAACTGGAAAACATGAATGACTTCGACTTGGGGATCAATGACTTGGACTGTGAGGTGTGGTTATCAGACGTGAGCATCGGAGGGGCAGAAGTGTCGGAATCGACCAAGATCGAGAAGAACGGGTTCGGATACATAGACGTGCCGATAACGTTCAGACCGAAGGACTTTGGATCAGCACTGTGGGACATGATACGAGGTAGAGGGACAGGGTACACTGTGAAAGGCAATGTCGATGTGGACACGCCGTTCGGAGCGATGAAGCTTCCCATTGTCAAGGAAGGTGGTACGACCCGTCTGAAGAAGACCGATGATGATGATGACGACGATGAGGTACACGTTTGATGGAACGGCCGGCTCCGTAGTTTACATGCAATTTACGAGATTTTGCTATAAGCTTCATTGTCATTGAAACTCTGTTTGTTTGTTTGTTTTTTGCAGGAGTAGACGAAGAGAATGGTGGAGTGGCCGATGTGGGATAATGGGCGAGTGAGGTTATACTAATAATAATAAATGGGATATGTGCTATTGTGTAATCTCCAATACTTTCTTCCGTACGATGATGATCTTTCGGTTCCAAACAGGCCCAAGTCAGCATGCCTAAATTAATAAAACATCCTTCTTAGAGTTGACTTTCAACTCTTTCCAAACTATATTCTACCGAGAAATCTCTATACTGCCCTTTTGTTTATACCTTTGGCTTCTTTGCTTTTTTGGCTCTTCCATTCTCAAAATCTTCAATCATAATATTTAAAATATCCATAGAATATATCTGTAATCGGATATCCTAGAGTGACGAATTTGAATACAGATTACTAACTCCGTAACTCGAATTATTTGATTTCGGTATCAAAATAATTCCAAAATCTATGATATTCGGCCGTATCTAAAACTATGGTGGCTATTTCGGATTTCGATTCGATTCTATTCAGATTCGGTTATTTTGCTTATAGAAAAACTATGAGTATTCGGGTTTTATATAAATTTTGATTCGATTTGATTCGGTTTCGGTAAAAAAACCTCATTTTTCTAAGAAATTATCGATTTTTTCGGTTATTTTTTTATTCGGTTCTGTTTCAATTTTTTTCGGATTTAAAAAAATCATAACCATTCGATTTTGATATCAGATACAGTTATATCTTATTCGGTTCACTTCGATTCAGTTATTTAGTTAATAACCGAAATGGTGGCAATCATCTTCTATACACTATGATTGAAAAAGAATCCGTATATATATATATATTTAAAGATCGAAATCAGCTTGTCTGAATTTTTATATAATGTAAACTCGATGATTGAAAAAAAGAGTCCGTATTGCGGCCGATGGTGCAAATTGATCACGTGCGTTTTTCACCCCCCGCGTGTTCTTTTAAGACGGACCATATTATATTAGGGTTTTGCAATTTTGACCGTATAATATGAAAATGGAAATTAACGAGACGTTACAAACACCCACCCACCAGAGAGGATGTCGTGTGGATGTGGCTTCCCTAATGTGGGGGTCCCAATTCAGACACTATTTCACATTATATACCTTTTGTTATTTCAGTCACGTGTTTTTATACTGTTCTTTAATTTTTAATTATTATTTTTTTGCCCAATGATTTTTCATTTTAACCTCCCCCCCCCCCCGGTTTT